AGCTGAACAACTTGTGATGTTCATACTCAGTAATATAAAAAGGAAATAACTACTCATAAATTCAACAGAAGAAGTCAAATTACATGTTATTTTATTCATTTATACGAAGTTCTTGAACAGTTAAAACTAATCGTGAAAAAAATTAAAATATTGACTTTTACAGGGGAGGGACATCCTATTTTCTGAGAAGGAACATAGGGAACTTTTGGGGGTAAAGGAGATATTCTACATCTTGATAGGGATTACATAGGTGTATCAGTTGTCAAAAAATTATACAGTTGAAAGCTGGGTGTCTAACTCAGTAGTAGAGTATATGCTTAGTGTTAAAGATCCTGGGGTTAGTTCACAGAACCCCACCAACCCAATACAGTTATGCTTTACACATTTAAGTGTAAATTTATCTTTGAACAATCAAATGGGCAGCTAGGGGTTGTAGCTCAGTGGTAGAGCATTTGCCTCGCACGTGTGAGGCCCTAGGTTCGATCCTGAGCACCACATAAAAATAAAGATATTGTGTCCATCTACAATTTAAAAAAATTAAAAAATCAAATGGAAAGACAACTCAAATGTAGTTACACATGGTAGTATACACCTATAATCCCAGCTTCTTGGGAGATTGAAGCAGGAGGCTAATTAAATTAGCACAAGATCTTGCCTCTAGGGGCAAGGGAGAACTAGAAATGTAGATTAGTGATAAAATGCACCTGGGTTCAAACCCAACACACACACAACAAAAACTAATAAAGCTGGGTGCAGTGCTGCCTATCTGCAGTCCCAGCTACTTCGGAGGGTAAAACAGGAGGATTGCTTGAGCTCAGGAGTTCAAGGGCAGCCAAAGCAACTATGATGAGATCCCTATCTCCCCCCCCACCCCGCCCACACACACACACACAAGTGGGCCATAGAACCAGAGATTTGGGTTTTATTTTAGTCTCATCCCATCTTAGCTGTGAGATTATACTCTATTTTGACATACCAAGTGAGACTAATAATCACATTTCAGGACTGTGGTTAGGATGAGGGCACCTGCACTTTACATAAAGCCAATTAACCAACTAAATTGCCTTGAAGAAGTATAGACTCGGAAATAGTGAAAAACCGAATGGGTGACAAAAATGGTGTTAAGGTGCAGGGTACAGTGGTGCATGTAATCCCTGTGGTTTGGGAGGCTGAGGCAAGAAGATCCCAAGTTGGAGGCAAGCCTGGGCAACTTAGTGAGACCATATCTCAAATGATAAAAAAGGGCAGGGGATATAGCTCAGTGGTAGAGTGTCCTTGGGTTCAATCCCCAGTACCACCAAAAAGAAAAAGAATAACATTATGGTTTGGATCTTAAATGTCCAGCCAAAGGCCATGTGTTAAAGACTTGGTTGCCAGCCTGTGGCACTATGGGGAAAAGGTGAAAGTATGGCCTAGTGGAAGGAAATTGGGTCACTGGGGCATGCACACAAAGTGGGTATTGGGACCCTGACCCCTTACTTTTTTTTGCTTCCTGCCCACCATGACGTGAAAGCTTTGCTCTGCAACATGCTCCTGCTATAATGTGCTGTGCCACCATAAGGACAAGTGACCAATGGGCTGAAATGTCTGAAACTATGAACCAAAATCTTTGCTACTCATAAGTTATTTCTTCAAGTATTTTTGTCCCATTGACAAAACTAACACAGATAGGGTTAGACTCAGGAAGGCTTTTAGTAACAAGGTTGGTAAATATAAGTCAGTTGAGATCCACTATAGTTTAGCTCTTTGTTTTTTATGGTGCTGGGAATCTAACCCAGGACCTGGCACATGCTAAGAGCTGCATCCTCAGTCCTAATATATTTATCCTTTAACCCAAATTTCAGAGTGCATATTTTTAAAAATATTTTTTAGTTATAGATGGATGCAATATCTTTATTTTGTTTGTTTATTTTTATGTGGTGCTGAGGATTGAACCCAGTGCCCCACATGTGCGAGGCAGGCACTCTGCCACTGAGCCACAACCCCAGCCCTCAGAGTGCATATTTTAACTACAGATTCTTCTTAATTTAGGAGGGGGTTACATCCCAATGAAGTTTCATAAATTAAAAATACCTTAAGTTTAAAATGCATTTAATACACAGCTACTGAACATCATTGCTTAGCATCATTGGTACACTGCAGAATATCAGTTGTTCACACTTATGACTGCCTGGCTGACTGAGGGCTATAGGGCTGTGCTATTGCTCAGCATGATGGGAGAGTATTGTATCACATACTGCTAGAGATTAAATCTGAAGTATAGTTTCTACTTGTGTTACCACTTCTGGATCTTCAAATGTCAAATGATTTACATTGAAACAATGTTAAGCCAGGAACCATCTGCATGTTAGTCAGCTTTTTATTGCTGTGACTGAAATACCTGGTAAGAACAACTTAGAGGAGGAAAAGTTATTTTGGCTTGGAATTTCAGTTGGCTGACTCCACTGCTGTCTGCCTGAGGTAAGGCAGAATATTATGGCTGAAAGGCAGGGTGGAGGAAAGCTACTCGGCTCATAACAACCAGGAAGGAGAGAAAGAGAGAGAGAGAACTCAAGGAGCCAGGGACAAAATATAATCCCCAAGGTATGCCCCCAGGCCTACTTCTTCCAGTTACATCCAACCTGGCTGCAGTTCCCACCAGTTATCTATTCAAATTATTTATCTATGAAATGGCTTTTATCCACTGTTCAGGTTATATCTCTCATAATCTTTTAGTTATTTCACCTTCAAACATTCTTGCATTGCCTAACACAGAGTTTTTGTGGTAACATCTCATGTCCAAATCATAAGTGTGTAGTTTCAAATATCAGAAATAAGGGATTACAAAAATATAATTTGTCAGACATGCTAAGATTATTCGCCCAAATCTATAATCACAAAAAGAGTGAATTGAAGCAACTAAATAGAGTTCCTTTGCGCTCTTAAAGGAATAGGTAAGGGTAAGCCTTGTAAATCATTAGTCAGATAGGCTTCTATTGTTCCAAACTGGAAGGGAGGATGAAAATAAAATATATAATGGAAAAGGCATGAAGTACAGTAACAATTAGTAAAGTCTGATGATGTAGAAAGAGGAGCACACACAATAGAATATATTAGGAAGAGCACGTTAGGAGAGCTAGACTTTAGACAATGCTTAATCAACATTTACTCATTCTTTTCTTAGTTTAAGAACCATTTCCTTAAAGAAGCCTTTGACTACCTTTCTTCCCCAAGTCTAGGGTAAGTTCTTATACACTCACAGAATTATGTTTTATTATTTTAGAACACTCATTATAATTTCTAATCGTTTAATACTAGTCTTCTCTAAGTTCTATGAAAGAGGGTCTGGTCTAGTTCAGATGTATTGCCTGATACATAGCAAGTGTTCAATAAATATTTGAATAATTTTTACAACAAAGGAGAAATTTAAAACCTTCCATCAAACTACTTAGAAATTAAGGACAATGAAAATATTACACTGACTTAAGGACCATGGCCAAAGCTATTCTAAATTTTTCTCATTTAAATAAAAATATCTGATACAGGATGGAGTGTGGTTCAGTGGCAGAATGCTTGCCTAGCATGGTGAGGCACTGGGTTCAATCCTTAGCATCACTTAACAAATACAGGAATTCTGTTCATCTACAACTACCAAAAAAATTTTTTTTTTAAATCTATAACACTTGTAATCTTATTGTGATTCCAATGACTTGTGAGGCTGAGGCAAGAGGATTGCAAATTTTGAGGCCTGCCTCAGCAACTTAGTGAGACCCTGTATCAACATAAAAACCCGTTAGGGATATGGCTCAGTGGTAAAGCATCCCTGGGTTCAATCTCCCCAATACCAAAACAACAACAACAACAAAAAAACTATGAGACTCCAGAAAAAATTAATGACTTGGAACAAAACCAGTAGAAGAGGCCAATGAAATATACAACATACTGGCAATGCTAATCATGGGACAAATGCAAATGCATAATAATAAAAATGATACAGGACAACAGGTGAAACAGTGTAAAATACTACATACTACTCTAAGCATATTAAAATATTTATTTGGGGTAGTGAGGGGGAGTGTGGGAGGATTAGATGAACTCTAGATAGTGCAGAAGAGTGAGAGGGGAAGGGAGGGGGTATGGTATTAGAAATGATGGTGGAATGTGTTGGACATTATTATCCAAAGTACATGTATGAAGACACTACAACCAGAGATATGAAAAATGTGTGCTCTATATGTGTAATATGAATTGTAATGCATCCCGCTGTCAAATATAAATAAAAAAATTAAAAAGTAAAATATTTAAGTAAAATGGACAGTTTTCTAGAAAAATAAAATACAAAAACTGATTTAAAATGTGGAAGAAACTCTCAATTGTTTATTAACCATAACTTTGGCGAAGTCAGCAAAGAACTTACCAAAGCATAACGTCCTTCTATACATCAATTAGAAAAAGTCAAGTACCCCTAAACAAAATGAGCAGATAGAAAATATACCAAATAACTCATCTAATCCTATGACTACTCAAGTCACTGGAAATAAAAAAACCTGCAAATTAAAAGCACAATTTCTCACTATTTCTTTTTATCAAATTACTGAAAAATCACTCCTAGTTTTTCACAGTAAGGAAAATCAACCGTACTGTAGCCGCATGAATATAAATTAGCACAAACTTTCTAGAGACCAATTAGGTAGCATACACTCAAAGTCTAAAATCCCCTCCACCTCCAGAAACTTGGACAAGATATTTGATACTGGTTACTGTTAAGCCACAGGAGTGAAAACAGTATTGTGGTAATACGGAGAAATGTGCCTACTTTTAGGCTCACCTAAGTATTCAGGGGTAAAAAAGATGTGATACATGAGTAAAAATTGAAGCAAATGTGCCAAAATATTGTTATATCTACCCTGAGTATATGACGGGCCATCACACTCTACTTTTCAGTATGTTCGGATATTTTAAGAAAAACGTTTTTAAATATGCTTTGTAGATAAGTCAAGCGAAGACTTGAAATTGCTCACCATCCGCCTCATAGGTAAAATTGGCCAACAGTATCTGCACATCCCACTCGTACCATATCTAGACAGTGGACCCACGGAAACCATCAGAAAGGGGTCCCAGTAGGCCAGTTAAGGTTGGAGTTGGGCATATTACGCGGGACCTACAGATAGGAGCCAAACACCAGCGGTTCCATGCTCCGAGCTCAGTGCGCCTGCGCAGTGTAGAACTGGCTGCCTACTGAGGCACAGCGGAAGCGCTGGCGCCCCGAGTCACGTGGCCTTGGGCGGAGGTGGGGCGGGCCGGGGACGTGCTGCCGCGTCCTCGCTGGCTCACTGGGCGGCGGTGGAGCTTGTGTGAGTCGCTGAGGTTTCTACTGGCTCGGAATTCGACTAGTGTATGCCTGGCTGGATCGTAAGGCCGGCGTCTGCGAGGACGCGGCGTGGAGGGGAACGGCAGCCGGAGACCGGCTGGGCACCCCTTTCGGAAGCTGGACGGTCCCGGCTTCGCAGGTGTCGCCTCTCGGCCAGCGGCGGGGATCATGGCTTCGCTGGCGGACCGAGTACGGGGCAACGGGCGAATAGCTGCTGGGCTCCTGTTTAATCTGCTAGTGTCCATTTGCATCGTGTTTCTCAATAAATGGATCTATGTGCATCACGGCTTTCCCAACATAAGCCTGACCCTGGTGCACTTCATGGTTACTTGGCTGGGCTTGTACATCTGCCAGAAGCTGGACATCTTTGCTCCCAAAACTCTGCCTCCCACCAAACTCCTCCTCCTCGCCCTCAGCTTCTGTGGCTTTGTGGTCTTCACCAACCTCTCTCTGCAGAACAACACCATAGGTACCTACCAGCTGGCCAAGGCCATGACAACGCCGGTGATCATAGCCATCCAGACCTTCTGCTACCAGAAAAGCTTCTCCACAAGGATAAAGCTCACGCTGGTGAGTAACTCCAGCTGTCCGACACACATCCCTAAACACTTACCTCCTGGACCCCACGTCCTGGACGTCTTTCTCTCCGGGAAATTTGAACGTACATTGTTTAACCTGCGTCACGCTCTTTCCCATCTTCTTGAATCAAATGAGTCATGTTCTATGAGCATGTGAACTTAGGGTTTATTTGGGAATGCAGGGGTAAGAAAGCCTTTGTTGGGCTCTTAGTCCAGAAGAGTGTGCTAGTGTGGGTTTTAGCAACTACTGTTTAATGGAATCTTCAAATTCTGTGATTGGAAAGAAAAGAAAGCTGTAAAGAGGGGTGCAGTTCAGTGTATCAGGATATCTGTACAAGCTCAAACTGAGAAACCCTTCTCCCCAAGGGAATCAAACCACAGATGATGAATGTGAAAAGGTCTAGAAAAAAATGTCTCAGAATATGTCTGCAAGGACATACTGCAGAGGCATCTGCATCTTTAAATGAAAGGAGATTCAGTAGAATAATATCAGCACTTAGTAACTTTTAATATTTAAGATCTTAATGCTTTTATTGTGACAGTTACATGTTGTTTAGGCATTACTTTTGTGTTCCATTTACTTACCTGTGCATGCATGCATGCGGTAATTTCTTGCAAAGCACAATGCATAGACTCATTATTTTACCCCAAATTCAAAATAGAACAAAATGTGAGCATCAATATGGAATTATAATATTTCACATGTAAGAAAAAGAATGAACAATTTTCACAAGTGAAAAAAAAATTATAGATTTGTTGCTTCCCAGATATGTGTTTATGATTATTAGCCTTGTAAGACACTGTGAAAGGAATATTAAATTTGTTTCTTGAATTTAATCTGAACAGAATTTTACCTCTTTTTCTTTACAGATTCCTATAACTTTAGGTGTAATCCTAAATTCTTATTACGATGTGAAGTTTAATTTCCTTGGAATGGTGTTTGCTGCTCTTGGTGTTTTAGTTACATCCCTTTATCAAGTGGTTGGTAATTTTTTTTTTTTCCTTTATGTGCCTTTTTAGCAGATGTCATAAGTTTTGAAGCTGTATCCCAAGGTTTAGAAAATACAGTATAGAGACAATAGACTGTTGGGAAGAAACCATAATTGCATAAATTGACTCAAGGTGAAGAGAAGAAAACAGAGAAACTTGGGTGTGTGATGCTCACCAAATACCTGTTTGTAAGTGTATAATATCCATGCTTAAGAGTGTGAGTTTGGGATGAAGTTATGTTATTTTCTGGGAAATCTTTACAAAACTAGAAGTAAGACTTTATTTTAGTGGGCTGGGGCTGTAGCTCAGTGGCAAAGTGCTTGCCTAGCATGCACGAGGCACTGAGTTCAGTCCTCGGCACCACGTAAAAATTATGAAATCAAAGGCATTCTGTCCACCTACAACTACAAAAAAAAAATTTTAAGATTTTACTTTCTGAATTCATTAGTTATGTTATTATTTACCCTTTAATTTTAAAGTTGCTGTGAAGAAGTGAGTGTACTTCCAGACATCTGAACAGGAAAGGAAATTTTTGCTTTCATAGTTTTTTGGGGTTTTTTTTTGCCTCAAAAAATATGTTGCTATATATTGGCTTTTAATAATTTATTTATATCAATTGAGTTTTTTGTAGAAATGGGTATCTCACTTCTTGTTCAAGCACAGTGTCTTGCCTGTGACAGCATTCTTAAAAATTTGTTCATGGATCCATTTACTTTATTACTATAAAATCCCAACAAGGTCATTTTGTTTCTCATATAGTGGTGAAAAAGAACATGGTATAAGGTGCAGTGAAACAGTATTCTCTCTATACTGAAAACCTTGGTTTGGAATTTCTGGGTGTGCCTGCATGGGGAATCAAAGCCAAAATGTGTAACCAATTTTATTTTTTTCACAGACATCCACTGGTTATAAACGGAGGCATTCTTGTTGGGAATGTTAGGAGTTCAGTATTGCAGCCCTAGCATCTTAAATTCTCTGGTAACGATCATTTCAGCAACGTTGTCATGAAAAAATAGTACAGTCACGAATACATTTTTTAGTAGCAGAGAAGCAGTTTAAACGAAAGATGAGACCAGTGTCATGAAAGGATGAAGCACTCACTCAGTTTTGTTACTTGGCTCCATGATATGCTGTTTTACTACAGAGAATGATCTAAAGATTAAAGAAATTTAGCTTTGTTAATTAAAAAATCGTATTTGGGTACACTTCAGTGAGTTTAAATTTTGTTACTAGGCATAGTGAATATTACTATTTATTTTTATTAAATGCATATTTTGCATTTAACAAAATGTATGGATTAAATATTCACTAAAATAGCAAGAAGTTGATCTGTTGAATATTAGAATTTCTTGTACTTACACATAATTTCAATACAGAGTACTCATTATGTCAGTATGACCATTTTTGTTCACAGAAGTTTCAAAGCTACTGTAGATTAGAATCAAGGGTTCTATATCTCTAAGGTAGATATTTGAGATGAGATTGACCAAGAGGGGTTGTAAATGTGCAAATGTTCTATTATCAGTAAATAGTAGAAGTAATATAATGGAATACAAAGATTTTTAAAAAAAAAAAATCCCTTTTAAAGAAATCTGTATCTGCCCATTATATCCCAGTGTGTTCTAAGTTATTTCTTCTTCTACTGCTGGGGTAATTAAAAGGAGTTGAAAGAAGAGTGATGAGCTGTAAACTTCAATTGTACAAAATAGTTGACTCATTCACTCAGCAGACATCTTTTCTGCTTTATATTCATCCTTAAGGATACAAAGATGAGCATCAGCTATAATCCATCACTGTAGAAACATGTGTAGACAGCTGGTCACTTCAGCGTGTGAGCCAAGTCTTGAAGAAGACCAAGGAAGAAATGGCAGCCCTCCATCCAGGGTGATGAGGCAAGACCTGAGGGAAAGTTAACAATTTAAATTGAAGGATGCACAGGAATTTGCTCAGCAGTGAAATATAATAGGTCTTTCCTTGAAGTATGTGTGAAAGTACAGAGCCCTTTGGGAGAACCTGATTTGTTTAGTGAGGTTAGACTGTAAGTATACTATGGAAAGAAGAAGCCAAGCAGTGGGTGATACCAGATGGCAGTCTCCTGTCATGCTAAAAAAGTGTCTTCATTCTGCAGGCACCACATAAAGGAGTTTAGGTAGGGGAGTGGCTTGATCATGCCCTTTGTTTAAGAAAAATCACTGGTGGCAATGAAGGGTACTTAAGGGAAGTGAGAAAGGGTGACAGCAGTTAGGAACCTATCCATGCTTCTAGGGGAAGGCAGGAATGGCCTGGGCCAGGCAATGGGAAGCTGAAAGATACTCCAGAGACCTTTGGGAGGAAGAACCAGTGGGGTCTGATTAAATGTGAGAGTGAGGAAAGTAAGGAGTAGGATCCTTGGGGGAATTGATGGCATTTATTATTGAGGTGACACAAGAGGAGCTCCTTGGTGGAAGGAAGGAAGGAAGCAACTTGATTTTAAAGAAATTCCTGCAGGCTAAGTAAAAATGGCCAGAAAGTTGTGGAAGGTGCTATGGTAAAAATACTCAAGGAAAGCCGGGAGTGTAACTCTTGCTCTGGGTGTGGTAGAGCACTTGCCAATCGTGTGTGAGGCCCTGGGTTCCACGCCAGCACTGTGGGGTGAGTGGGAGGAGTGGGAGGTGAGAGGAAGGAGGTCAGAGCTGAAGACGTCAGCAGATAGGAAAAAAGATTAGTTCAGGGTATCCTTTGGATGAGGCCGTCAAAGGAGATGGTGCCCTTTGGGAGGCCATTAGAGGGGTTGTGGACAGAAGCCAGGCTGCACTGCAGTGAGGGACAGCAAGGCCCACCATTCCAGGCAGTCCTGTGGCAGAGGTGGAGGCTGGATGTGAGCCTAGTGAGCCTGGGAAAGGAAAGTTGCATTCTCTACATCCCTCCATGTTTGCTCACTGCTGTGCCCCCAGTAGCTGGCAGCAGAAGAATCAATTCTTTGTCCTTCATATTCACAGATGACTCTTAGTTAAAACTGGCGGGAATATGGCTCAAATTTCCTGCTCTTCTATTTTTGTCTCGCTGAATTTCTATAGACTGAGAATTTATGTAACAAGGTACCCAGACCTACAGGAGAAAAGCTTGTAGAAGTCATTCGGAAGCCTTGCTGTTCTTTCCAGATCTTATTCAGTTTTACTGAGCATTCTTCAAAGCCTCCTTTTCAGTCCTATTTGTGAAGCACTTTGAGGCCTGTTGGGATTTGAGGTTTTGAGGTTTTATTTCTACTGAATGACAGTATTTGGGGGTTTGTGATTATCCAGTGTACCTGGGTCAAATGGGGCAGCGGGGATACTACCCACAGAAAAGTCATCCAAAGAGAGGAAACTTTCTTCTGCCATTGATTGGATTTTCTGAAGTGACTGAAAAGACCACACACTTTGGCAGCCAACTGGAATAACCGGGGTTAATCTCCTAGACTCTGAACTGCCCTGTGCCCCATCTTCCTTTTAAAATTTTTTATTTGGGCCATTTTTAGGAAGAAATGAGGTCTGTCATTGCATCTATATTCCTGTTTATCCCCTAAATTTCTACTCCTGCCTTAGAAAAAAATCTCTGATGTATATGGTTCCCTATATCCATTTACTTATCCCTATTTAATAGGATCAGGAAGATAGAAAGGGTTTTTCTTCCTTGTAAAGAATGGAGAGGAAAATAGTTTATCAGAAAATGAATTTGTAGAACTCTTTTCATCTGTGGTAATTAAAGAGCATTCAGATATCCTACTGGTCTTGGAAATCTTGTAGAATAATTAGGAATTTCCTCTCCCCCAGCCTGTACCCTATGTTTCTGTCTGTGTGGCTAGAGTTGCATCATTGATTAAGTGATGGTTTTCTCTTGTGCCTGACCTGTTTATCTCCTAATTTTCAGTGGGTAGGAGCCAAACAGCATGAATTACAAGTAAATTCAATGCAGCTGCTGTACTACCAGGCTCCAATGTCATCTGCCATGTTGCTGGTTGTTGTGCCCTTCTTTGAGCCAGTGTTTGGAGAGGGAGGAATATTTGGTCCCTGGTCACCTTCTGCTTTGGTAAGTTCTAGCTGTTTCAGTGCCTAAGAAACAGTGTAATAATATCTTTGTTTTTAATGTATTTTTTTAGTTTCAGAGCACTATCTCAAATCCATTCTCATGTTTAATCTTCATAATTACCCTTTTTTAAGGAAGGCAAGGTAAGGATTATTTTCCAGACAACAGAATTGAGGCAGAAAAGGTAAAGGGACCTTCCAAGGTCCAGCAGCCAGTCAATGGCAAAACCAGGACTACAGTACTGATCTTATGCCTGGTTACTGTTCTGACCATGCCAGATTATAGCCAACAAATAATTTGGGCATTTAATTTTATTGGCTTTCTTTTTATATAAATAGTATGTACTTAGCTGGTTATGGTGTTACTCATCTGTATTCCCAGCAACTCAGGAGGCTTAGGCAGGAGGATTGCAAGTTCAAGGCCATCCTGGGCAACTAAGTGAGACCCTGTTTCAAAAACAAGAGCTAGTGATGTAGTTCAGAGGTAGAGCACTCCTAGGTTTAATCCTCAGTACCATATATATATATATATATATATATATATTTTTTTTTTTTTTTTTTTTTTTTTTTTAATGTGCTGAGGATCGAACCTCGTGCCTCACTTGTGCCAGGCAAGCACTCTACTACTGAACCACAACCCCAGCACCCCCAAGAATTTTTCACATATATAAAAAGTACATGGTTATGTTGTGGATTTTGAACTTACAAAAAAAAATATGGAGAAAGTGGAAGCTCTCTGATGTCCCACCACACTAAGATATTTAGTTACCATTTTGACAATGACCATTTCACAGGTCTGTCTCTCTCTCTCTCTGTGTCTGTCGGTCGGTCTGTCTATCTCTCTTAATTTACACATGTGTATGTGTGTGTGTGTAATTTTATCTAATAGAATCATATCATATGCTGTTTTTATCCTGAATTCCTTTTCCCTGTCCCTCCTATCCATGTACACTTCAACATCCCATTCCCCATGTGTACCCCTAGTGTTCTTTAATATCTTTCTCCTTGTTACATATACCCATTTAAAGATACAGTACAGGGGCTGGAGTTGTGGCTCAGTGGTAGAGCACTTGCGTGGCATGCGTGAGGCCCTGGGATCGATCCTCAGCACCACAAATAAATAAATAAATAAATAATCCATTTAGAACTGAAAAATATTAAAAAAAAAAAAAAGATACAATACACACATTGTATTTTTGACAAACGTGGGATCATACAGGTTTCGGAGATTGAACTAGCTGAAGCATGCGCTGTCTTAATGAACTATACCTCCAGCCCCTGCACATGCTTTTCTTAACAATACCATGAAAATCTCTCCAAATTATACTTTTTAGTGTCTGTATAAATAATCCCTTTTAGGTATTCAATTTTTTTTTTCCTAGTCCTTGACCACTATGAACAACATTTTAATAAACATTCTTATACATGCGTTGTGTGTCCTGATACTTTTTATTTTCCCTCTATGGAATAGAGTCTTAGGAGGAGAATTGGTAGATCAAAAGTATATGTACTTTGAGGACATTTAAGTTAGAAAATATAATCACCATTGTCTTAGTTCAGGCTGCTATTACAAAAATATGGACTGTGTAGCTTAAACAACCAACATTTTTTTCTCACAGTTCTGGAGACTGGAAGTCTGACGTTAGGGTACCAGCTCAGTTGGGGTCTTGGTAATAAGGCCCTCTGTTTACAGAGGGCAGTCTTCTCCTTACATCCTCACCAGAGGGAAAGAGAGGAGAAGCAAACTCTCTTTTGTCTCTTCTCCTAAGAGCATTAATCCCCTTTGTGAGGATCAGTGAGATGACTTAGTCACCTCCTAATACTATCACAATTCAGATTTCATTATGCAAAGTTTGGGAGGAAACAAACAGTCCATAATACCTTACTTATCAGGAACTTTCACTTCTAACAGCTTTAACCTTTGAAACAGTCAGTAGGAATGTCTTTTTTGTTGGTGGTGTTAACTTACCAAATACTTACTAACCCTTCATCTTTTCCAGGCATTATTCAAGCACTTTGCAAATGTTAACTTATTTACGCTTCATAACTTTGTGAGGTTAATACTAGTATTAACTATTTTTACTCCGGGAAACTAGAGACAAAAGAGTTATTATGTAACTGACCTGAGATCCCACAGTTAATTAGCGGAGGCAGAATTTGAATCCATGCATCTTGACTCTAAAGTCCTTATTTTTCACCTCCTCCCCACTCACAATTCTGGAGATTAAACCCAACCAGGCAAGTGCTATACCCCTGAGCTACACTCTCAGAATCTGTCCCCCGCCCTCCTTTTTTCCTTTTTTTGGAGTTGGGGTCTGCTGTTGCCCAGGCTGTTCGTCAACTTCTGGGCTCACGCAGTGCTCCTGCTTCAGCCTCCCACATAACTGGGACTATATGCAGTCATCACACAATCTCCATATTCTTGAGTACTGTACTATGCTGTCCCTGAGACCAATAATTGTTTCAAATTCGTATATTTTTGTTATTGTTGTTCTTTTTAGATACACATACAGTAGAGTGTATTCTGACATATTGTACACACATGGAGTATGACTTATTCTAATTAGGATCCCATTCTTATAGTTTTACATGATGTGGAGTTTCACTGGTAGTGTGTTCATATGTGAACATAGGAAAGTTATGACCAATTCATCTACTGTCTTTCCTATTCCTATCCCTTCTCCCTTCCCTTCATTCCCCTTTGTCTAATCCAATGAACTCCTTTTCCCACCCGAATCCCCCTTATGTGTTAGCATCCACATATCAGAGACAACATTGAGCCTTTGGTTTTTTGGAACTGGCTTATTTCATTTAGCACGATAGTCTCTAGTTGTATCAATTTTCCAGCAAATGCCATAATTTCATTCTTCTTTATGATTGAGTAATATTCGTGTGTGTGTGTGTGTGTAACATTTTCTTTATCCCTTCATCTGTTGCAGGGCACCTATGTTGGTTTCATAGCTTTCCTATTGTCAAATTTATATATTTTGGCGTATATACTTGTTCCTAAAGTAGAAATCATTGGACCACCTCTCAAATAATATTCCTTTTACTTTGTAAAAGTCCTACCATCTGGATTATTTGGTCTTCAAATATTGCAGCTTGGACACTTGAAACTAGAAGAGAGGTTTTTCGTGGTAGACCCCTGACAGGTTTTGTTTTTTTTTTTTTTTTTTTTTTTAATTTTTTATTGTTGGTTGTTCAAAACATTACAAATTTCTTGATATATCATATTTCACACTTTGATTCAAGTGGGTTATGAACTCCCATTTTTACCCCATATACAGATTGCAGAATTACATCAGTTACACATCCATTGATTTACATATTGCCATACTAGTGTCTGTTGTGTTCTGCTGCCTTTCCTATCCTCTACTATCCCCCCTCCCCTCCCCTCCCCTCCCCTCTTCTCTCTCTACCCCCTCTACTGTCATTCATTTGTCCCCCTTGTATTATTTTTCCCTTTCCCCTCACTTCCTCTTGTATGTACTTTTGTATAACCCTGAGGGTCTCCTTCCATTTCCATGCAATTTCCCCTTCTCTCTCCCTTTCCCTCCCACCTCTCATCCCTGTTTAATGTTAATCTTCTTCTCCTGCTCTTCGTCCCTACTCTGTTCTTAGTTACTCTCCTTATATCAAAGAAGACATTTGGCATTTGTTTTTTAGGGATTGGCTAGCTTCACTTAGCATAATCTGCTCTAATGCCATCCATTTCCCTGCAAATTCTATGATTTTGTCATTTTTTAATGCAGAGTAATACTCCATTGTGTATAAATGCCACATTTTTTTTAATCCATTCGTCTATTGAAGGGCATCTAGGTTGGTTCCACAGTCTTGCTATTGTGAATTGTGCTGCTATGAACATCGATGTAGCAGTGTCCCTGTAGCATGCTCTTTTTAGGTCTTTAGGGAATAGACCGAGAAGGGGAATAGCTGGGTCAAATGGTGGCTCCATTCCCAGCTTTCCAAGAAATCTCCATACTGCTTTCCAAATTGGCTGCACCAATTTGCAGTCCCACCAGCAATGTACAAGTGTACCCTTTTCCCCACATCCTCGCCAGCACTTGTTGTTGTTTGACTTCATAATGGATGCCAATCTTACTGGAGTGAGATGGTATCTTAGGGTGGTTTTGATTTGCATTTCTCTGACAGCTAGAGATGGTGAGCATTTTTTCATGTACTTGTTGATTGACTGTATGTCCTCCTCTGAGAAGTGTCTGTTCAGGTCCTTGGCCCATTTGTTGATTGGGTTGTTTGTTTTCTTATTGTCTAATTTTTGGAGTTCTTTGTATACTCTGGATATTAGGGCTCTATCTGAAGTGTGAGGACTAAAGATTTGTTCCCAGGATGTAGGCTCCCTATTTACCTCTCTTATTGTTTCTTTTGCTGAGAAAAAACTTTTTAGTTTGAGTAAGTCCCATTTGTTGATTCTAGTTATTAACTTTTGTGCTATGGGTGTCCTATTGAGGAATTTGGAGCCCGACCCCACCGTATGTAGATCGTAGCCAACTTTTTCTTCTATCAGACGGCGTGTCTCTGATTTGATATCAAGCTCCTTGATCCATTTTGAATTAACTTTTGTGCATGGTGAGAGAAAGGGATTCAGTTTCATTTTGTTGCATATGGATTTCCAGTTTTCCCAGCACCATTTGTTGAAGATGCTATCCTTCCTCCATTGCATGCTTTTAGCCCCTTTATCAAATATAAGATAGTGGTAGTTTTGTGGATTGGTTTCTGTGTCCTCTATTCTGTACCATTGGTCCACCCGCCTGTTTTGGTTCCAGTACCATGATGTTTTTGTTACTATTGCTCTGTAGTATAGTTTGAAGTCTGGTATCGCTATACTGCCTGATTCACACTTCCTGCTTAGCATTGTTTTTGCTATTCTGGGTCTTTTATTTTTCCATATGAATTTCATGATTGCTTTCTCTATTTCTACAAGAAATGCCGTTGGGATTTTGATTGGCATTGCATTAAACCTACAGAGAACTTTTGGTAATATCG